ATATTGCACTACACGGGATGATCCTTACATATAATTCAGCTCCATATTTTTTTTTTCAAGAATATCCAAATATATATATAGAAACTATTCATTATCTTGAGATATATTATTTCTCACAAACTCGAAACAGGCATGTTGTAGAACGTGGCGCGAGTCAAGAACGCCAGCTGTCCCGATTTCTTAAGTCGGAAATTTACTGCAACTACTGTCAAATTTCTCCCACTCCTTACCACAGATCCATCAACAATTACTTCTGCCTGTAAAAATACAGTTTAAAAAAAAAGTCAGAAAACGAAAATATTCAGACAAGATTTGCCATTCATTACTATGTCACAATTTAACCTTAAAACGACTCGACTGTCCAAAACGAAAACATTATTGCATTGGATTTACTGAATTGAATTTCACATTTTAGCGATGAATCTAAATCACGATTATGCTGCAAAAGAACATCTTTAACGATAAATTTAGAAAAAAAAAAAAAGGAAACCTTATGTGGAGCAGCAGAGAGATAAGAGAGGCTGAGTTCTCCAAGGAAGAGATCTTTGTCTTTTCCGACAACTGTTCTAGCACACGCGATTGCAACTCTCTCAGCTACAGCTCCGACTGCACCTCCATGCATTCCGCCGTAACCGTTCTGAAATATATTGAAAATAATCCGTACTTGATGCTTCTGTTTTTCTCTTTTTTTTTCCAAATTGAAATTAGTAAAGAAATAAAAAAACGAGGATATAAATTGGAGAAAACGAGCTACCTAATAAAACGAACTGAATTGCAACGAGACAGGCTGTTGATTTAGGAGCAGAAAAAAATCACATAAAAATGAGTTTAAGCCATGAATTCATTTCTTTCTTTCTTTTAGAACCATCTTTCTAAGAATCATGATACTACTATTTCTTTAGGGGGGCAAAGATCTCTTCCTTGGAGGTGGGCAAAGATCTCTTCGTAATTTAAGTAAAATTATATCATATTAACCAAAAGTGAATAACTTTTAACAAAAAATAGATTGACAAAAAAAAAAAGAGGGGTTTGGTTTATTTGGTTTACCAGAATTGGAGGTTTAACATGAAGAAGGCAAGAGATTCGGCCCCTTTTAATGGAGATCAGTTTAAGAACTCCACCTACAAGATTCGAGAACGAATCCTTCACGTTATGCTCTGCTTTCATCTTCTGACCGACACCCACGCGCTTCACAAATTGGGCGATTTCTTCGCGGATTTCTGGAGTTATTTCTTCCGGAGTTTCTTTGGTGGCGGCCATGGTTTTCTGTGATTCTTCCTTTGCTGTCTGTGGTTGGTTGGTTCAGTCGAAAATAGGCTGAAAGTTCGGCATGTTCTATTTTATTAGTTTTTTTAATTCAATTTTAATTTTCAAAATTCCAACAATTGCAAAATCACACCTATAAATAATATTTATTTGGGACTATTAGTCATAACCCCCTCTAGCGTTTTTTAAATAATCGGAGATCCAGTCCCTTTTTCATTATTAGTGATAGATCCAATTTTTCTATTATTCTAAATTTACCCTCTCTCCCATATTTATATTTTAATTTAGCATAAATCCAAATTTTATATGGTATGTCTATATTACCCTTAAATTACTAAATAAAAACACCAAACCCTATTTCTCTAATTCATTCTTCATTTTTATTCCACTAGCCGTCACCTCTCTCGCTTCTCTCCTCTGCCATTTCGCTTCTCTTCCTTTCTCTTCCCTGCCATCGAACCCCATCTCAGCCCAGCGCCTCTCAATTGCCATCGGTCCCCACCATCTTCTCGACATCCCCATCTCCCTAGACGAGGATTGGCGGCGCGACAACGGCGGAGATTACACTGCCCGACAACATCTCAAAGAGGGAGGTATGGAACAACGTTTTAGGCTTCCTCGACGGCGATCTGATGTGGTGGATTGGTAATTGGCGGATGACACCATAAGGTTTTTGTCCTTGCTCCACTTGAGAGTGATTGGTAGGTCGAAGATATGGAGCGGCTGAGACGCGGCGCGGGAACCCTGACATCCATAGCGCACTAACAAAAGCTCTTGAAACGGCATCGTTG